GATAGATAGATAGATAGATAGATAGATAGATAGATAGATAGATAGATGACAGATATAGACAGAGACAGAGAGACAGAGTTAAAACCTTAAATAATTAGTGTGTAATTTACAGCAAAATTATAACCATACCTCAGATTCATTAACTAAAAGTTCAGACCACTTTTGCCACTGAGGACATTTGTCCCGGTCTTCAAAAGTAGTTTCATTGGATGTCCAGCAACACTGCTCATGACTATACCAAAAGGCTTCTAAACAGACTCCTTCTTTCAAATCAGTCATCCAGTCCACTGCTAAATCTATCACTCCAGCCAATGTGCCTAACAGGAAGAGAAATAGATGTTAAAGAAGGACCCAAACGATAGACGCTAAGAAATGAGTTTGCACATGCTCTTGTAGAAGTGCCTCTTGAATATGAGTTGGACACATCTGTAACTCCGTATTAAGTCACCTCGCAGTTACCAAAACAAGAAGTTAGGAGAGCTGTCCATCTCATAGCCATAGGGTGCCTTCAAGAGCATTTATTACACATATTGGTTAGCACCTACAACAGTGAGTGAGTGAATGAAATCTGCCAAACAAAAGATGAGAATTGTTTCCTTGTATATTTCTATAACCTTTTTTATGCAATATAGTGTTTCTCTTAAAATATAGATTGCTTTTCTTGACTTATTTCTAAGAACTTCTAAACAACACACACCATTATTCGTCTAAATAAGCTTTTAAAGCAAGAAAATATATTCTTATCTGGATTATTCCATGAGCAGCTGAAACTGATAAGGTCAAAACTTGGGTTTGGGATTATTCACCAAAGTTCATAGTAGGTTAAGACCACTTGTTGAACAAATAGGAAGTGTGCATGATTGTTATTTTCAATATACCGACCTAAAAGCAGACACTGATTCAATAACAAATACCATAAATAAAAACTTTCTTTTTACAACCCTGTAATCCTTTAATATGGAATAGAGTTGGGGTGACTGGATGGAGCTGAGAGTTACTGGCCGGATTCCCTTCCTGATGCCATGTGGTGTTCGCAGCAGATATGTTTTCTTTGCACTCTTGGAGAGAAATATCTGCCACTGCCTGGGATTGAACTCTCAATCTTCCAAGTGGAAAGTGAGCATCTTCACCACTAGGCCATCAAAAACATTTTTTATATTTATTTTTATATAGTTATGGTAAAAACATCATCAACTTGTAGCATTAAATATTTATAATTGGCTTATATTGTATTAGAAATACATATAATTTTTATACCTTCCATTTTGAAATTGTAATATTTTTGTCTTTCCATTCCAAATAGTTTGCAGTTTTTAAAATAACATAGTACAACCAACAGTGACATCAAGTGGTTTCTCATAGCAAGAAAAACTGAAATAGCATTTTTAGTGACTGCTTTATAAGAGTTTGCCTGAATAAATGTCATATTGCTTCATGAACTATACATGGCTCTAATTACATATTTCAGCTAAACACTAGAAGAACATTTGTTGTTTATTTATACCAAACCAAAATATATATAATAAACCACAATACAATCTAAAATAACTGCCTAGTATATTTTTTACTTACTACAATATCTCTTGTCTTGATAAGAGATATTGTAGTAAGTAAAAAATATGCTAAGCACTTACCTCTTATCTTTATAAGAGATATTATACGCTTTCTAAAGTAACTTCTCATGTAATGGGCAGCTATATAAATTTAATAAATAAACATAAGGTTTTGCAAACTATTATCAATTAACCCAAAAATTCTTGTATACCCAGAATAAACAACTGTCTCTACAGCGCACAACCTTTAATAAGTAAACATGAGTTAACATTTGTTTGAAATTACCTGCCAGCAATCCTATAAGTAACATAACAACCCATCCTGACCAAGCATCCAATAAACTTTTGATGAATTCCCATATGGACTCCTTGCTTTTATTTGTAATCTGGAAAAAATATATTATTTAATTGAAAAAGTTGCAATGTTGATATTTCATTAAATATATCCCCTATATTCAACCTAACATAAATATATGTAAGCTATAAAATGCAAATGGCATTTTTATTTGGCAGAGAAGATGAGGCAAGATATGATTATTATTATTATTTTATTTATTTGTATCCCGCTTTTATGAACAAAACATATTCCATAAAAGTGTTGAAGAAATCTGTCAGGGCTAGGAATATTTTCCATTATCTAGAGTTAGTTGCAGTGTGAATTTATTGAAGAAAAAAATTAAATTAAGATTAATCATTTCCTGTAATGTGTGTCAGATTGACTTTTGGGGAAAAATGATCTATCCTTATAAAATCTATAAGGTTGACTCAGCCTTCCATCCTTCTGAAGTTGGTAAAATGAGGACTTAAGATTGTTGGGGGCAATATGCAAATAACACTGAAATTGTGAACTGCCCAGACAGTTCTGTAAAGCACTATGGGGCAATATATAAGCTTAAGTGCTATTTCTAGTGCTATATTTCTAATAATTGTAACTATAGAGTTTAGAGTAAAAATTTTAAAAAATTATTTAATCAATCTGGAATCATATTTTTATTGGACTCAATATTGTATTTCTTGTATAACTCTCACTGCTAATATTTTACTAAGGTTCTTTCTCTTTTCTTAGTATCTTGTCTATTGTAATAAAAATTATGCCCTATAAACATGAAATTTAGTAAATTCATATTTAAAAGACATCAAGAGATAAATGGGATTACAAACAGTAGTTCTTTAACTTTCTTCTCCAAAAATGGTAGCCTAGCCAATTGCTGGGTGTTTTTATACAAACTATATGTGATAATTTGATCTCTTATGGTCTGGCATTATCCCATATCAGGAATCCATATAAGTCATAATGCTCCTTTTTAAGCACTCTTTTCTAAGCACTCTTAAGCAAACTGCTTAAAAAGAATGAGGAATAGTAAGTTAAAAAAATTAAAGGTATATAAGAACAAGGAAAGGTACAATTGCTAACACTAGCTTCTAATTGATTCATTGTATGTATTTGTACTTTTCTACCCTTGAAACTATCCTTACTCCCACCACATCAATGTGACTTTTAACCTTTTAAACTTTTATCCTCTCTGGTTTTGAGAATATCCAACTTTCTCAGTATATCCTTTCTTTGGTTCAATTTTTTTTTAATAAAAATAAATTATGACTTGATCTTCACTTGGCATGGGAAAATGAGATTTTTCATTTCAGCATCTTTTTTCTTTAGTTTTATGTTTTATTGTAATTTCTCTGATTGTTGTGAATCAACCAGAATCATTGAGAGTGAGTTGGCATACAGCTTTATAAATTATTAAATTAGTATTATCTTTACTTGTTTATCATACAGGCTGAAGTAACCTATCCCCATTGAATTCAATTGGCCCTATCTTTCTTGACACTCAATTGTCAAGAAACAAACTGTCAATAACAAAGTAGGCAAAAGGATTCTCTTATACAAAGCTTTTTTTTTTTGCTTTTCAACAAACATTAATTGCCTTCAGTACACCATCCAACCTATCTTTCTATCAGAATTTCATATCTAACAGTTTCTCTATCAAGTTGTCTCTCTTTGGTGAGTATTTTACCATTAGCAGAGGTACTGTACATTCAGAAAGTATTCAGACCCCCTTCAGTTTTGTCAATTTTGTTATGCTGCAGCCTGAGTCTACAGTTGTTGAAATTCATTTTTTTTCCTCATTAATCTTCATTCAGTACCCCATTGTGACAAAATGAAAACAGAATTTTAGAAATGTCTATAAATTTATTAAAAAGAAAAAAAGGAAATATCAAATTGGCATAAGTATTCAGACGCTTTGCAACACTTGAAATTGAGCTCAGGTGCCTCTTGTTCCTCTCGATGGTTGCTGACATGTTTCTACACCTTGACTGGAGTCCATCTGTGGTAAATTAAATTGATTGGACATGATTTGGAAAGGCACTCACCTCTCTATAGAAGGCCTCACAGTTGACAATGCATGCTGTAGCACATTTCCGATGAAGATGGCCAAGTGAACACATATCCAGGGAGGGTTCCCTGAAGGGTTTTTCCCAGGGCTGTAGCTCTTCATCTACTAACGGAAGGAACTAGCATTCCTTCAATTTATATGATTCTCCTAAGTTAGGAAAAGTCTTATCCCTCAAGATCCTCCGATACAGCTGAGGTCTGCAAGTAACTTCAGGAGCTTTGAAGCAACTGCGTGCTGAAAGCTGGGGAGAGGGGCTGCAATGTGATTGTCATGGGAGAAGCAGCCACTTGCAAATTTACTTTTCAAATTGACAGTGCTTTTCATTTCTTAAGCACCTTTAAGGACTATTAATCTTTACTAAGTTAAAAGAGGCTCTTTTTAGTCACTCCTTTTTGAAGTTCTGTGCCATTTTGGGGGTTTCTTCAGTGTTGAACAACAAGGAAGAAGGCTGTGAAGGCAAGCCAAAATAAGGAAGTGCGGAGCAAAAAAAAAAAGCTGATGGGGAAACATAAAGACAAAAAGTTGTGGCTTTAGTTTATTATTTGTATTATTTGTAGTAATTTGGTCTGCTTTGTTGTGGGTGGCTAAAACTTTCTGATTTTTATTATTCCTGAACGGCTAGCAATTTCTAAGTGACTTATAAAAAAGCAACTCTTTGATAAAAGAAGGAGGAGCAAATTATTAGAGATGTATTGGAAAATTTTGTAAATAAAATTCCTCAGTTTGGATCAGCTGTGCTCCAGGGATGATTAAAAAAAACTTCTCAAACTACTTTGGAGATACAAATGTGTAGAAAGTTATCAAACTATCCAGGCATCTTCACAAGTAGCTGAAAATGCAGAGAAGTGAACTGCAATTTTGGAATACCAACTCTTATTATGATGGTTTTAATATAAATCTCTCAACACAACTGAAATAAGAGTTTCGAGGAAATATGTAACTTTTAAAAGGACAAGTTTGGGACTTTTTCTTTAAGGATATTAACAAATTGAGAAATCCTTGACAAAAAGGGAAGCTACTTGATAAACTTTCCAGACAAGAAAACGATTTTACTCCATGAAGACAAGCTGGAAGGAGTGAGTTAAACTTAACAAGTTAACTGCAATTAGGATTTTCATCTGTTTGATATTTATAATTGAAATAAAGTCTTAATCTTAATCTAAAATTTGAAAATATAACTTTATATATATATATAATGCATAAGTAATTCCTAAACTATGCAAAATGTTATTGAAAATGTATTTGAGAGTACTTGTGTTAAGAGAAAGTTAAAAAAATGATGTATTAGTTTAAATAAAAATTTAGACTTTTAAAAAGAATGTATACAAAAGAAAAAATATTATTCTATGAGGTTAGTTTAGGTAAATTTAACACCAAATTTCAAAGTATGTATGTTAAGTAGTTAAAAGAAAAAGATGTATTAGAAAGTTTTGATTTCAGAAATGTGTTTAAAGAAAAGTTTAGCATTTTAAAAAGGATGTTAAAGTATTTTTCCCTGAATACAGTGAACCTTGCATTATAAATAGTGAAGTTTATAAAGATTATTAAATGCAAATAGAAATATATATTATTTCCACAGTAAGGAAGATAAAGCAGAAATGGTTATATTAATTATTTTATTCAAAGAGGATAATATATTTAAGTATGTTTTTCATTTGGATATCACTTCTGAATTTTATGTTTGTGGTGAAAAGAATTAAACTTTGACTTTGGTTTTGTCAATTAGATTTGTTGTTATAGAAATGGTTAGTTATATACTAATGTGTAAAAGCAAAAAGTTGAAGTTGGGGTGTTTTTATCTTGCATTATGCTAAAAAGAGTTGGAGGTCAACAGCTTTTTTTTTCTCTTATACCTTACATTTTCTTTCCCCCTAATTTTCCATTTTTATTTCTCTTTGTAGTTTATATATAGATAAACAATAAAAACTATGATTTAAAATGCATACTATAGCAAAGCAAAAGCCATAAGGTCAAAGGAAATGCCTGCAAAGCTCAGAGACAGGATTATTGCAAGGCATAGATCTGGGGAAGGCTACAGTAAAACTTCTGCTGCACTGCTGCACTGTTCCTAAGAGAACAGTGGCCTCCATAATTCTCAAGTGGAAGAGGTTTGGCAGGACTCTTCCAAGAACTGGTCACCTACTCAAACTGAGCAATTGGGGGTCTTAGGAAAAGAGGTGACCAAGAATGACCAAGAACATAATGGTCACTCTGACTGAGCTCCAGCGATCCTGTGTGGAGATGGGACAGAGTTCCAGAAGGACAACTATCACTGCAGCCCTCCACCGATCTGGGCTTTATGGAAGAGTGGTTAGATGGAAGCCTCTCCTCAGTGCAAAACACTTGAAAGCCCAATTGGAGTTTGCAAAAAAACAAAACACCTGAAGGACTCTCAGACTGTGAGAACAAGATTTTCTGGTCTGATGAAACCAAGATTGAACTGTTTGGTCTCAATTCTAAACATTATGTCTGAAGGAAACCAGAGACTGCTCATTACCTACCCAGTACCATTCCAACAGTGAAGCATGGTAGTGACAGCATCAGCCTGTGTTTTTTAGCAGCAGGGACTGGGAGATTGGTTAGGATTGAGGGAAAGCTGAATGGTAAAGTACAGGGATATCTTCAATGAAAACCTGTTCCACTGCACCCAGGACCTCAGTCTGAGCTGAAGGTTCACTTTTCAACCAGACAATACAAGAGTGGCTTAGGGACACTTCTGTGAATTTCCTAGGGTGACCCAGCCAGAGTCCTGACTTGAACCCTATTGAACATCTCTGGAGGGACCTGAAAATGGCTGTCTACTGAGTCACCATCCAACCTGACTGAGCTTGAGAGGATTTGCAAGGAAGAATGGTAAAAAACAACCCAGGCGTGCAAAGCTTGTCACGTTATTCCGAAAAAGACCAGAGTCTGTAATTGCTGCCAAAGATGCTTCAACAAAGTACTGAGTGAAGGATTGAATACTTCTGCCAATATTTCAGTATTTTTTCTTTTTAATAAATTTACAGACATTTCTAAAAGTGTGTTTTCACTTAGTCATTATGGAGTACTGAGTATAGATTAATGAGAACAAAATGATTTTCAACAACTATACGATCAGGCTGCAGCATAATAAAATTGACAAAAGTGAAGGGAGTCTGAATATTTTCTGGATGCACTGTACCTATTTCTTTTATTTTTAACATTTATGTATATACTGCATTTGTTCGCATCACAACTACCTTGGTTTCTGATACATTAATTTCTGATCTATACTCCTTGTTGCACCATACAGTTATTTAATGATTGCTGCAAATAATTCTGTCCTTATTTAGCAACAACATTATCTGCATAGAAAAGAACATGCATGTTAATTTCCTTAAGAATACATCTCTAATGTCATCTCAAACATTCTTAACATTAATGTTTGATAAGGTTTTATTTCAATTGCTTCTAAGCATTTTACTTACAGAGCAAAGAATAAGCCAGAAATCTAAAACCCATTATTTGTGAGAATGATCAGGTTGAACATTCAAACTCATCTAGAAGTGAAGCTGGAAATATATGTTCCATGCCATATCAGTTCCTTAGATCAGTTTCCCATTATATTGCTATACAGGTAGTCCTCAATTTATGACCATAATTAAGCCCAAATTTTTGTTGCTAAGCAAAACATTTGTAAGTAAATTTTGCCCCATTTTACAATCTTTCTTGGCACACAAGTCAATTACTACAGTTGTTAAATTAGTAACACGGTTGTTAAGTGAATCTGGCTTCCCCAATTGACTTTGCTTGTCATAAAGTTGCATAAGGTGATCAAATGAGCCCGGGACACTGCAACTGTCATAACTATGAATCAGTTTCCAATCAACTGAATTTTGATCATGTGATCATGGGAATGCTGCAGTGGTCTTAAGTGTGAAAAATGGTCATGTTGTTTTTTTGCAGTGCTGTTGTAGTTTCAAACGGTCACTAAATGAACTGCTCTACGTCAAGGACTACCAGTATTTCAGGCATATAACTATTAATGGAATAAAATTAAAAAGTGATCACTTTAAACACATATGCTAAGTGTTTATCTTTTATTTACCTTCCTATGTCTGTCTGTATCCCGAGATTTTTCCCTTAACCAATCAATGGTATGAAAGTCTTCATAAGTGCCAACATCAGGAAAAGGTTCGTCTAAAAAATCCATCAGATTTCCAGAACCATTCATGTTTCCTGCATTAACCATATTAGAACCTGTACAATGAAAAACAAAAGGAGCAGGTTATGTATTCAGTATTCAGACATTAGCATTTCTTTTACATCATGCTTACATCCTCATACTCATCAAGCCCTTTCCTGCAAAGAAGAAATTACTTGCAATACTATAAAGTAGGGGTCCCCACCCCCCAAGCCGTGGACCAGCACCAGGCTGTGGCACGCCAGCAACTGAGCTGCACAAACAAGTAAAGCCCCATCTGCAGGATACAAGCAGCACGCAAAACCATGTCTCCTCTGGTCAGCGGAAAAAGCTTTCTGAAGGTTTTTCTCAATCTTCTGGTGCCCAAAAGATTGGGAGAAGGGAGCACTGCTGTAAAGCATGCCTCACATACAGCTTTAGTGACTCAATAAGAACTTGAAAGATGAGGCCAAGAATTTTCCAATAGCCAATTATCTTAAAAAACAATGTCCAGACTAATCCTTGGTAAACTACTAAGAATTGCTGACATATTTAATAAGAGATTGAAGAGATAATCATGTGCCCTGACCAATGGCATTAAAAAGATGTCTATGGAGATTCTCAGTCATCCAGGTCACAATTGTTCCAAAGGTACTTTTCCTAAAAGGCAACTAGCATGCTATTTACCTAGCTAATTGCTGAACCTTTCTTACAATTATGGAAATTTTCCATTCTTCTTCAATTTTGTTTAAATTACAACAGATGAATTACAATCAAATAGAAAACCCACAGGAAAATTCAGAAAACTCACTAAATGGTATGAGGTACAACAAATCAGAGTGCAGGGTTTTTTTCAGTATAAAGATAATGCTACTTTTATTATTCCTGCTGTTTTAATGTTCATTTAATGCCTCTGTAAACTTAGTAAAGCATAGTTACTCCTGAGGGGTTACATCAGATTAATGATTGTGTACTAATTGTGTAATTTTACAGACTGAGTTATTGTGGAATTCCTTAATTTTTTTTTCTTAAACAATATATTAAATATGTTTTGGGTGTAAGCTTAAAAATAAACACAACTTTTTTAATTAACCCAAATTATCTTCTTTGCCATGTAGTCTACAGCATATGCAAAACAGCAATCTTCCTTACCTGGAGAGGTGAATGAAAATTGTAACTACATAAGGTAATATTGTGATTGAGAGCAATCCTAGGCTTACATAGGACAATGCAATCTTTGTTATAAAAAGGAATTTGGTGGGGGGGGGAGGGACAGATGGTCTGCTTCAGCTATTAGACAATGCAACATTTTGGTAATAAAAATGAAAATTATTTTTTAAATCTGTGGTTTAAGATTTTTAAATAATTTGTTTGAATGTTATGCTGCTTGACATCATAAACCATAGAGGTTTTTGGAAGAGAAAATAAAGCATAGTCATTTTTTGCCCTGTAGTAGAAAAATTCAGTGCTGTACAGCTGAACATTCTGTTTCGACAAAATTATTACAGAACTGCCTTCCTGAACCACAAAGTAATATTTTCTCTTTATGCAGACAAATTTCATCATTGCCTTTTGAATGGTACAAAAATTGAGAACTCTTACTATTTTCTTGCAGTTATTCTTTATTCGATCCATTCTACCAAATACTAGGTTACGTATTATCCCATTCTTCAACACATTGTAAAAATATTCCTAAATATCTTAATAAGTATCTCCTTTTATATAAACTGGTCGTAGAACGCACTTCTTCCCTACTACAAGGAAAAAAATAACAAAATAGGCAATTTAACACTTCCTTCGGTAAGCCATTTAACTGAAGATTTCCCCCCCCAGTAAGCTCCCCAAGAACAAATGAAACAGAATTTCCACATGAATTATGTCAGAAATTTAGAGTTCTATTCCCTTTAAAACAAATATTCTCCGATAGCCTGGTATATTGCAAAGAATCAGTTCACATATCTGAACACAATTGTTTCATTCCAGCCGTTTGGACAGAATAAAAATACAGCTTCCTGCATATTAAAAAGGTCACATAATAGGCACAGACAATTGTTTGTCTTTGTCAGCTTTAAGACCCCATTTGACAGTATTATTTGTAAACTTCTCATCTGAATGTCTGGAGACCCATCAAACAGCCTTTGCGCCTGCTGGCTTCAGATTCATAGAGGCCTATTATAATCAGGATTTATTTTTAAAGCCCTCCTTTGACTATGGCTGATTCAGAACAATGCCCATGAAAAGCTTAAAAAATAATGGAACAGAGCATAATCATCTTCTCTTACCCGCAATGCAACATAATTTAATTCTGCTCTAAGGATCCTGACAGCATCCTTTCTTCGCTGGTATGTCTGCAAAGGCAATGATGTCATGTAGAGGAAGCAGCTAGTCACATGACCACATGCCACATTAGAGAACTGCTAGAGAGGCAGGCAGATAGGCAAGAACTGAGCTCCTTCAGGACTAAGCAAATGCTCTTACATCTTCAGAGCTGGCTGCAAAGAAAGGGAAGGGAGGGAGGGAGGGAGGGAGGAAGGAAGGAAGGAAGGGCTTTCAATTAAAAAACATTCCTATCCAGAACAATTAAATTTTCATTGCTTAAAATAATAGAACAGTGGCTATGAAATTAAGTGGTACTGTGAGAAGATTGATTCATGACCCTCCAGGAACAAATGCAAAAAAGAGAAACAAAGGCTATTTGTATTTTCCTGAGATTTTATAGAACCACAAAATCATAGGGCTTGAAGGAACCCTGGGGGTTTTCTGGTCTAACCCCCTGCCCGAGGCAAGAGTCCTTACACCAAATGGTTGTCCAATCTTTTCTTGAAAATCTCCATCAATGGAGAACCCATAACTCTGGGAGACAAACTGTTCCATTGATTAACTGTTCTCACTGTCAGGAAATTTGTCCTTATTTCCATGTTGGATCTCCCTCTTGTGAGCTTCCACCCATTGCTTCTTGTCATGCCCTCAGATATTATGGAGAATAAATTGACCCATCCTTCCCTGTGACAGCCTTCAAGTACTAGAAGACTGCTATTACTTCTCCCCTAAGACATTTTTTCATTAGGCTAAATGTACCAGTTATTGTAGCCATTCAGCTCACAATTTGGCCTCCAGAGCCCTTTTCATCTTTGTTGCTCTTCTCTGTACTCTTTCTAGGGCCTCAGCATCTTTTTGGTGTCATGGTGACCAGAACTAGACACAGTATTTCAAGGTGGCCTCACTAATTCAGTATGGAGTAGTGCTATCACTTCCTGTGATTTTGATGCTATCCCTCTGTTGATGCAGCTTAGGGCTGTGTTGGCTTTTTTGGTGACTGCGGCATATTGCTCATGTTTAAGTGACAGTTCACCAGGACATCTAGACCCCACATAGACATTATATTGAGCCAGGTACTACCTATCCTGTATTTCTTCATTTGGTTTTTCCTGTCTAATTACAAGATCTTATTTTTTTTTTCACCACTGAACTGCCTTTAACTGGGACTGCACATACACATGCAAAATGTGCAGAACATTTGCAACAGCAGCCTTAGGAATGAAGGCAAATGTTGCAGGATCCAATCTGAGTCACTCATTGGGACCAAAAATTTATTCTTCCCAAGTTTTCAGGCTCGTGCTGGAGCCCATCCATGGAGAAAGAAAAATTCTCTGAGAATGAGCTCCAGCACGAGTCTGAAAGCTTGGAAGAATAAATCTTCCATCCTTTGTGACCAACTGAGATTGGATCCTGCAATAGCAGCTTTAGTTTATGAGGTCCATGGAAAACGGATGTGGTATTTGGTATTTTCCCCCCTTAGGATATTGTAACCAGTGAAATAACCATAAAAGTACTTACCATAATTTATAAATGAAAGCAAACAGCAAAAGTTAAATTATGTTCTTCATCAAATAACTTTATGATAAATACTTCATATTCGTGTAAGTTTGGAAGGATTCTCAAGTGGACAACCTATTCCTACAGCCACCATCAGATGTTTAGCCTAGACATCTGCAGATATTTTGAGCAATTATTTTTACCACAACCAAGCTGAAATATGTAAATGTAGGTAAGCAAAAGCATGACTCAGGGTATAAAAGGAGAACACTGGATGCACCTCTCAAGTGCCAAATTAGTCAAAGTGTAGCTCAGCATTGCTCAGGACCAAGTTTCATGTATCAGTGAGAATTGCCCCTTTGTTTTCTTTATATTTTTATCTTGTATTTCAGGAACTGGCAACCTAATATCCTAAGCATAAGATTAGGCTCACAGTCATTGTACTACAAACTTCTGGAGAGCACGATTTGATTGTCTCTGCATAGAAAGCAAATATAGATGTCCAAAAGTTGTTAACCAAGTTATTTTTTCTACATGGAGTGTCTTAGACAGTCATCAAAGCTATGCTTTCCTGATGGCCAAGAGGCTTTTTCAACACCTAGGGGTGAGGAGCACCACTACCTGCATTCCTGAAGCACCAGCAATCATATACAACCACACATTTGCAAATATATATATATAGTTTCTGTTTTAGTGCACATATATTGCAAAAATTGGACTAAGGCCGCAATGCACCTACTTGTATTTTAACATGTTAAAGGTGAGTGGGGATATTTTCATTCTGGGAGATTTGGAGAATATTTTTAAATGGATTCAACTTAAAATGCAAAAGCAAGAGCTGAAAAAGCTTCTTGGATGAGAAGTGAAACATCTTCAAAGAAAAAACAGAAAGTCCAATTGCCTCTTGAAAAAGCACCTTTGGGACAATGATGATCTGAATGACTGAGAATCTCCAGACCTTTAAAATGCAAATAACCCCTTCCCCCCAAAACCCTTGATGCATAAATGAAAATTGGTAATTTTCATTTTAAAAAATGGTAATTTTTTATTACCATTGACCTTCAGATGTTGAATCTCCTGATAGTTTTAAAGATTATATGTGTTTTTGTGGATTGCCAGCCCTTTTGAAAAATTAAATAATTTGCATACATTTTAAAATAATTTCTAGATGGTTGTCTGTCTACTTACAAAGAATTCATGCCTGAACTCTGATGTTATTCCAGATAATCTGGTTCATCTATGGTACTGTGTAATTGATC